GATTGCCAAAGCTGCAACAGGTGCACCATTGCCGACTCGGAGTTCAATCTCGCCTCGAGCTAACCGTCTACTCTGCTTCAGTCCCTGCATGGTAGTACAGATATGAGACCCACATCCAGTATCTAGTACCCATGATGAAGATATAGACATGTTAACTTCTATAACATACACCTCAGAAGAAATGGTCGTACCTTCCTTCTTCTTGGTTGCGAGGTATGTCTTGCAGTTTCTTCTCCAGTGGCCTGCCTTACCACAGTGATGACATTTGCCCTTTGCAACTCCTCCTATGGGTTTCTGGGTTGCAGATGAAGTGGACTTCGATTTAGGCTTTCCGACCGTCCTAGCCTTAATCTTAATCCCCTTCTTCGGCTTCCCCTTTCCGCCTTGGACCATAAGGACGGAAGCACCCTTGCCCTTAGTAAGGTTCTCCTCTGCAGTCTGGAGCATTTTAAGAAGCTCCGGAAGGGGTTTGTCAAGATCATGCATCATGTAGTTCATGACAAAACCCTTATATAGCTCAGGGAGCGACTGCAGGATCAGGTCCGTTGCCAACTCCTTCTGCAAGGAGAACCCGAGTTTCTCCAGATTGGTTATGTAACCAATCATTTTGAGAACGTGCGGACCGACTGGGTTCCCTGAAGATAGCTTGCAACTAAAGAGAGCCTTACTCACGAGAAAACGTTCATGCCTGGATTGCCCCTGGTATAGCTGCCGCAAGGCCACGATCATCTCGTGGGCCTTCATGTCCTCGTGCTGTTTTTGCAGCTCGGGCATCATGGTAGCCAGGATGACACAGCTAACCTGGTTGTCATCCTTAACGTGTTTCTCGTAGGCATATTTGACCGCTTTCGGGGCGTTAGCGGGAGGGGCAGGAGGAATGGGCTTTTCGAGCACATACTCTTTCTCATCCATGCGGTGAACAATGCAGAGATTGCGTTTCCAGTCAACAAAGTTTGTTCCGTTCAATTTATCTTTATCCAGAATGGAACGCAGGGCGAGGTTGTTTGTGTTGTTGTTTGCCATCTACAGAATTTTGCGAAGATAGTTATTATCATGAATTAAGTATCTAATAGGTCTTTATTAAATACTCTCCCACTATTTCTAACAAGCCAACTACCCTCAGGTACGGAACCTATTGACCTGGGGTTTCTATTTGAAGAATACCCTAGCGGGCCAAGATCCATATTTTATTTAACTATAGTTGTGCTTTGCATCTTGCCCTACAGTTAAATTATTTAGGTAGGAATTCATTCCAATTGGAATCGTTATTACAACTCTTGGGTCGGTGGATTCTTTTAAATAAAATTCTTAATTGGGCCAGATCCATATTTCATTTAACTATAGTTGTGCTTTGCATCTTGCCCTACAGTTAAATTATTTCTGGTAGGAATAAATTCCAATTGTAACAATTTACAACTCTGGTTGGATGATCTGATTTTATTTATTGATCCTACCGCAGTGCCCTAAGTCTCTCATCCTTA